TAATATGATCACTGAGAAATTGGTCGCTACACCCATGTCTCCAACACCAAAAATTTTGGTTTCTTTTGGTACACGCCTCGACAACCCCACGGAGTATCGCCGCATCATTGGGAGTCTCCAAAACCTATCCCTCACCAGACCTGATATTGTGTTCGCCGTCAACCGTTTGTCTCAATTCGTGCATCAGCCTACGGACTTACATTGGCATGCTATCAAAAGAGTTCTTAGGTTTCTTGTTGGAACTCTTTCACATGGAATCTTTATCAGGCCGAACACACCTCTCACATTACACGCATACTCTGATGCCGCATGGACTGGTGATACAGATGACTTCGTATCCAACAATGTGTATATTGTGTACATTGGCTCAAACCCCATCTCTTGGTCCTCGAAGAAACAAAGAGGTGTTGCTAGGTCTTCTACAGAGGCAGAATACAGAGCTGGAGAAAACACAGCTTCGGAGCTTCGCTGGATCTGTTCTCTCTTCTCAGACCTCGGCATCACACTACCTTCCGCACCAGTGGTATAGTGCGATAACGTTGGCGCCACATATCTTTCCGCTAACCCAATTTTCCACTCAAGGATGAAACGCTTAGCTCTTGATTATCACTTCATCCGAGAAAATGTCCAAGCTGGTGTTCTTCGAGTCACTCACATCTCCACAAAAGATCAACTCACTGACGCTCTCACAAAGCCTCTCTTACACTCAAAATTCACAGAACTATCATCCAAGATTGGAGTCAAACACCTGCCTCCATCTTGCGGGGGAATGTAAGATAAAGATACTTAGAGGGCTACTTATGTAATTAGTAGATTTGTAATATCTATATATATTGTAAATCACGTTAATGAATAAAATCAAGTTATCACGTTTACAAGTACACTATTACATAATGTATTGATTGTTAATTTTCTTATTGATGGTAGTTAACATGTTTTTTGAAATTCTCTTATTTTGCAAGACTCTAAGTCTAAACTGCCAAAAGATTTAGTCTATTGTCATGCCGATTATGTTGTCATAACCTTGCTGATATCGTAACACTTTTTATACTCACTTCAAAACAACAAAAGCAAAGTTTTAAAATAGAAATTTTTTTTTTTTTCATATAAACACATAATAAAACATTTATCATTTCGGTGTTTAGCAAATGGATTAGTCATAAAGAGAAAGGGAAAGGAGAGAAAAAGAAGCAGAATACTTGAAACAGGAATGAAGATGTCGAACAGAACACTCAAACACCATCCATGGCGATATTATCATAAGGACAAAAGTTTGTAAAGGTGAGGGCATGTTGGCACCTTCAAAAGAAGACATGGATGCAAACAGAGTGGTAAGTGGCAGAGTTTCCTAACAATCATGCTCGATGTTCTTGTCTAAAACAGACATCAACCCACTAATAGAGATGGAAATAAGCCAACTCATCTAATAGCTTTAACAAGTTTCGGACATGCAGGTCTAAAGGAATCACTCAAAAACGTTGTTTGTTCTTTTCTCAGTGTTTGTTCGAAACAGGTATGTGAATTATTTTTTTGGTCCTGTGGAGTTTTAGGGCTTTGGGTTTTAATAGAGTTACAATGTTTAGATTAAGAGCTTTGGCTTGTGTTGGTCTGCTCGAGGCTGCAAAATTAGAGCTTTTTATGTTTCTTCTATGTATGTATTAATAATCTATTGTGTGATCATAATCATCAAAGTATTTTTTTTTTAGATTATCTCAATATTTAGTGGGGCGGACAAAAATGTGCTTTATCGATTATGTAGATCCATTATTTTCATTTCTTTGGAGTTGCACAAATGAACGGAGCAATCTTTTTCTAATATATAGCTTTGTAACATGTTTCTAGATTATTGTGAAGTTGCATCAAACATTAGAGGTAATTCTTGAGTTTGAAATTATTCTGGTTTTCTTTGATGAATGTCTTCATGGTGTGGTCACTTTATTTAATGTTTTCACCATTGTTACATGGAGAGTTTGATGCACAGTGTCAAAATTTTCAGGTATCATTGACAGATCTCTGGAATATGTTCATAACTTCTTTCATGCTAGAGATTGTTTTGAGCTATCACTTATTTTTCTCTTGCATCTAGCGAGTAAACATGATCCTCTTTGATTTTTTTATTTGAAATCAAACAGTCCAGTTGTTGATTTCCATTGAAGAGAATAGAAGTTTGTGTCAGACAATATTCAAATGATCAGGATCTGTGTTGTTGGATGAGTTTCAGAAATCGGTGACGGGCATGGAAGGATCTGATGTGGCTTCAAGAGTGAAGGTGTTCTAAACGTTAGAGGCGTGATCAAGACAGATACGGTGATGACTGATTCGATCTAAAGGATTTGTAAGCATCACCAACTATAGAAATGGGTACAACACATTCCTCAATGATGCGAGTTATGTACTATTCGTCTTACAAGCTCCAAAAACGCTTTTCTTGCTTTTCTAATAATTTTAGACCCTTTATTTTTAGTTATCGCCATTCAACAGTTTCACCTGAATTGCAAGATTTGACTACTAAGCAAGCTGAAGTACAAAGAGAGACATACATTTCTTTCCATATAAATACCAAAGCAATACTATTGTTCACCTGTTATATACCTACATGGAGTTTTTAATATCTCTATAATATTATTTGAGAAGTCAATTTCTTAGGTGTCGCGCTCACGTTAACTCTCACGCTGGTTGATTACTATGATACCTCTAAAGAATTAAAAATACAATTAAATATTATTTCCTTTTTAAAAATTTCTAAATAACAATATAAAATAAAAAGGAAACATTTATAAAATTTACAAAACTATTTAAAAACGAAAATATAAGTATATATAATATGGTTTAATAAAAAAGGGAAAGTTCACAAAATAGTAATATTTAATTTAAATATATCTCTATAATGTTATTTGAGAAGTCAGTTTCATACGTGTCGCGCTCATGTTAACTCTCACGATGGTTAATTACATAGATACTCTTAATAAACAAAAATATTAAATAAGATTGATATTAATAATGTATTTCCTTTCCTCATAATAAGATTTTACTTAATTTTTTAATTTATGTTTACTTTTTAAACACACATATACAAAAAAAAAGTATTTCTGAAATAAAAATGTTTATATATAAACGAAATTAAATATTTTTCGAAATTTTCATAAAACAACATTTTTAGTGTTTATTTAAGAGATATTAAAAAGTAAAATAATTTTTTTAACACAAATAAATATTTTGATCAAATAATTTCAATTTGTTTTAAATAGCATAGCACTATACACTATTAATGAAATGAAAATATAATATTTTATCATTATTAAAAATTCTTTTTAATATATAGTTTGCTTTTTAATTTTATATTTTTTATGTTTATGGAACTTAATAGATAAATAGTCAAAATACTCAAGTAAATCTAAGTTCTCATTTTTAAGATTGTTTAAAAAATTTCAATTTACCTTTTAAGAAATCTAAGGTACAAAATAATTTAGAATTTATAAAAATTTAATTATTGTAAATATTAATATGTTCTCATGAAATTTCAAATGTTTACCTTTATACTCATATTTATGATTGTAAATTCTTATTGATCGTCACTTTATTTTTTAATATATCTTAAAAATCAACATATGTCCAATTATTAAAAATCTTATAAAATACTTGCATTAAGCAGTAAATAAAACTAATTTAATTTGATTTAATTAGAAAATTATATTTAACTTAATATACTCACAAAACAAGTAATGGAACGAATCTAACTTATATCAAAAATAAAAGATCTAACTACAACAAGAACATATAATTTTAGAATAATTATTTATTTATTTTTATACATATAGATTACAGAATGACTCAAAAATATCAACATAGAAAAAAATATTATTAACCAACTGTTATAATTCAGTTTTTTTGTAAAATTTATATATATATGAATGAGACTTCAGAATATTATCGTTATATTCATTTATATAGTTGTGTGTCAAAATTTCAGTTTATTTTAAATTTCATTATAAGCATAATATATATTAAGTTATACATAATCTTATTAAAATATATTTACATATATAAGACAATAACCAATCTAAATACAATAATAATTAAATTTTTAGTATATTTAGAAGGAAAATATCATAGTTGAATTCAGAAAAATAGATGCAATCTAAAATACACAAGTGTAACCAAATCGAATATTGAGCAAAAAAAGCAATCTAACCGATTAAATATAACATCTACTAAATCATATGTCTAATTAAGATAATCTAATATTATTAATATAAGTTATACATATAATTTATAAATTAATTTATAATTAAAAGTAAATATCTATGTAAATTAATAAATTAGAATATATTACAATATATTTACTTGATAAATATTCATACCCGTGCATGAGCACGGGAAAATCACCTAGTATAGCTTATATAGAAAAACTATGGACATCTATAATTACTCATAAACTGCCTTCAAGTTTCATACGTGGTTTCTAAACTAAAATTTCTAATTATTAACATCAACTAGACTCGTTAGATTACAGGAACTCTAATACACGAGGCCTCATCATGTTATGAATCTGCACAAGAATTCATATGTAACGGTGAAAAATCAAGACCGATAAAGAATTTATGGCATCATCTCTCGCCACAGCCTCCAAATGTGTGGTATTGGGTCCCAAATATGTTGTTGCAAAAAAAAAAAAAAAAAAAAAAAAAGGAGTCCAAATGTTCAACCTTGCCAGCTCTTACAGTGCACTCGCTGAATAAAATTCATGAATTATGTAGTTAATGGCTTTCTATTCATAAGTTATGTACACACAGGTATACAACCTTGCTAGCTTAGCATAACCACATGCCAATAATATATATTATTTAGGACCTGAATTGGACAAAAACAACATGATTTTTAACTAGTGGAACAATCAAACAATGAAAATGGATCTATAAAGGAGAGAGGTGCTAGACTCGAGAAATTAAACAAAATAGAACAAAGACAAAAAGAAATTGGACCATAGAATGAAGGAGGGTCGAAACAGAAACAGAAATCATAGTTTTAACACATACACAAAACTATTAGTCAATCTACACAATACAAAGTAACCTTGCGCTTGCGACTTATTATAAACCACGACGATTTAACAAACAAAATCCCTCCACAACACCTCTTTTAACATTTTTAAAGTATTACAACACATCAAATTGTCAAGGACCACGCGCAAGCGCGGGGCTCTGCCCTAGTGCTTATAATAATACTCTGCCATCAAGCACCAAGACTTGTTTCATATGATCGAATCATTTGGACTCTGTCTGTACTTTGATATTGCGCATATTATAGATCTCCTAATTCTCTTTCTGCGACCACTCAGAGAATCTCAACGATGATACAAAGTTTTTATTTAAATTCTTTTAGTCAGACAAACACACAGATTCCACGAAGTACACATTTTATAAATATCTCAGCGAAGGTGATGCCTGTGAAACCATATAAGGTTTTAACGTAAGCAAATGAACAATGATCTGAACATACATATGTACATACCTTAGTGTTTCCTTAGTCCCTTTGCGGATTTTGCAGCGTATAGTTGGGAGACCTAGTTTCTGATGTGCCTCGTACCTGTGACAACCCGAGAAGCCTACAACAACGAAGGATTAATCACCATCCGTCTTTCGGAAAACATAAAGACATGAATGAAACTAATAAAGAATATAGAAAAGCACCATAGTAAGCTCCATCAACTTCAATCACATCGATCTGTCACACAAACCAATATTAGTTTCTTTAATTTTGAAATCAGATAATAACAGGGAAGGTAGAGAGCGGCTTAAAGCTTAACCGGGACTTGAAGACCGATTTGGCGGATGCTATCCATGAGTTCCTTCACTTTGTTCTGATCGTTGGATCTTGTTCTCATCAACGGTCTCCGTATCTTCTCCAGCGGCAATTCCACGATCATCGGCCCTACACCGCCGCTAGATCCTCCGATCACCGGCGGTGAACCTGAAAATCAAAATCAGCTTCAGATTTTGCTTCATTTTAAAGGATAATAGCTTTTGAGAAAATTTACCGTTTGAAGAAGAAGAAGCCGAAACAGAGAAGCTTCTCAAGCTGCTTGGTAACCTCATCATCATCATCAAATTCGCCATCCTGTTGTTCTCACCGTCTTACTCCCTTCTCTCTCTATTTGATGAAATATCTAAATAATTTTGTGAACGAAAATATAAACACTGACGACGTCGTCGTTTTACTTGAAATTCTCAAAAGAAAAAAAAAAGATTGAAACGGTTCTTGACGTAGGAGCGTCTTCTTCAATGGCTGTCACGTCCTCCTCATATATGCTGCTCCGGTAATAAAACTCTAAACTGCAGTAAAAATTGTATTTACAGTTTCAAGTTGTATTGTTAATGGTGTTGAGATTTTTGTGATTAGGAACTTCTCTACAGTGGGTAGGAATAGGATTGCTCAGTCTGTTCGAGCGAATCAGAGAATCTTCTCTACCGGCGAATCCATTAGGGTTCTTCCTCGTTTTAGTTCTCTAACGTGAAACTTTCTCAATTCGTTTGTGTTTCTGTTGATAATTTGCATTTTTTTTTCTGATTGGTTTTTAATAGCTTGGCAGATCCATTTGTTCTACTCGTGCTTCGCACAATGAAGAGGCTGCAGCGAAGGCTGCTGCTGACACCGGAGCTCCGACCATGTATGGCTTCTATTAGCACAAATCTATCAAACATCTGGCCTAGTTAATTGGATATGATTCTTGGAAGTCTAAAAGACTATCTGATTTATAGATAATGATAGAGTTAAACCGGTGTTAACTCTATAATCAATCCGACGTTCAGATAAACGAGGAATTGAAATCTACCTTTTGAAGATCTTGAATTGAGAATAATCTTCAGAGAATAGATTGAGAAATCCAGAGAATTTTATTAAAGATGAGAAAGTTACAATTGATTTTCGATACTTGAGCTACAAGTTACAACTCTGTTTTTATACTCGAAATGTTTAACGAACTCTAACTTCCCTTCCACTCAATCGTTGCCACGCGTCACTCTTCGTCCCTCTTGTAACGGCTCCAACTTCTAACTCTAACTTCCAGTCCACGTCATCTTTACTCACTCCATAATGCTGTAACACAACCTTTCCCTTTAGAAAACCTTGACCACAAGGTTAACAAACAAACTCAGGATACTTCTTCTGCAACTCAAACAAGTACTCCCACGTAGCCTCCTCCTCCAACTGATTTGCCCATTTAACCAAAACCATAGTAGCTGCTTGACCTCGCCTCTGCACCATCTTCCTCTGCAATATTGTCTCAGGTGTCTTAGCCAAAGTTTCATACAACACCGAAGGTAACTGTGTTGCAGTAGTCACATCTCCCACCAGTCTTTTAAGTTGAGAAACATGAAAAACTGAATGAATCTGAGATGTTGCTGGAAGTTGGAGTTTATAAGCCACAGGTCCATGCTTGTCCAACACCTTATATGGACCGTAGTACTTAGGAGACAGCTTCTGAGACGTCCTATTGATCACAGACTGTTGCCGGTAAGGTTGAAGCTTCAGAAACACCCAATCTCCAATCTCAAAGTTCCTCTCAGACCTGTGTTTGTCAGCTAACTGTTTCATACGATGTTGAGCCCTCATCAAATGAAACTTCAATATCAACAACATCTTCTCCCTCTCCTCCAAACACTTAGCAACAACCTGCACCTTTGATTCGCCTGGAAGGTATGGAAGATGAACTGGTGGTGGTTGACCATAGACAATCTCATAAGGTGTAGTGTTAGTAGCCGTATGATAGTTAGTATTATACCAAAACTCTGCCAAAGGTAACCACTTACTCCACATATACGGTTTATCACTTGTCATACACCTCAAGTATGTCTCCAAACATCTATTCACCACCTCCGTCTGACCATCACTTTGAGGGTGATAAGCCGTTGATGTATTGAGAGAACATCCTTGGAGTTTGAACAGCTCTTGCCAAAACTGACTGAGAAACACCGAGTCCCTATCACTCACAATAGACCTTGGAAACCCATGTAATTTGAAGACATGGTCAAGAAAAGTTTGAGCCACAGATGCTGCAGTGTACGGATGAGCTAATGCCATGAAATGGGCCGCCTTACTCAGTCTGTCAACTACTACGAAGATCACTGATTTACCATATGAGATAGGCAAACCATCAATGAAGTCCATAGAAATATCAATCCAAACAGCTTCAGGTATAGGTAGAGGTTGTAGCAATCCTGGACTAGCCGCCGTATCATACTTACAACTCTGACACACCACACAACTCCTGAGATAACTCTGAATATCTTTGGCCAAACCTTTCCAGTAAAATAAGCTCTTTACACGTTGTACTGTTACATCTCTCCCTGAATGTCCTCCTTGACCCGACCCATGTAGCCATTCTAAGATTGAATTTTTCAGTGTTACCTCATTAGGAACCACAATCTTACTCTTCCTCCTGAGAATACCCTGCATCCAAGTGAAATGCTTCTTGTACTTAGCATCTTTCTTCAACCCTTCGATCACTTCTTGTAATACTACATCTCTACCATACCCTTCCTTAATCTGCTTTAACAGATCACACTCCAACACTGTCATCGCCATGTGAAGAATCTCAGCACCTTCCACTCTAGATAAAGCGTCTGCAGCCAAATTATCTTTCCCTTGCCTATATTGTATCTCATAGTCAAACTCCAACAGTTTAGGTAGCCACTGCTGCTGAATAGGCGTATTTAACCTCTGCTCCAACAAATATTTCAAACTCCTTTGATCCGTCTTGATAATGAAATGATTGGTTAACAAGTAATGACGCCACTTCTGTACTGCATACACCACTGCTAACAATTCCTTTTCATATATAGACAGATGTAGTTGTTTACCCTTTAGATGTCTGCTTATATAAGCCAACGGATGCCCTTCCTGCATTAACACTGCCCCTATTCCCACTCCACAAGCGTCTGTTTCCACCACAAATTGTTTATCAAACCGTGGTAAAGCTAACACTGGTGCATTGCAGAGCATCTCCTTCAACTCTATGAATGCCTTACTGGCTTCCTCATTCCAACTAAAAGCATCTTTCTTAGTTAAAGCTGTCAAAGGTCTTGCTATAACTCCAAAGTTCCTCACAAAATTTTTGTAGTAACCTGCTAATCCAAGAAATCCTCTCAAAGCTTTCAAATTCTTTGGAAGAGGCCACTCCTTAACTGCTCTCACCTTTGCAGGATCTGTAGACACTCCATTCGCCTGAATAAAATGCCCCAAATACTCCACTCTGTCTGAGACGAACTCACACTTACTTCTTTTTGCATACAAGTGGTTTAGTCTCATGAGCTCAAATACCACCGTCAAGTGATATAAATGTTCCTCCACCGATGAACTATATATCAATATATCATCAAAGAATATCAACACAAACTTCCTGAGACACTCTGCAAATACGTGATTCATCAACCCTTGAAACGTTGCAGGAGCGTTAGTAAGGCCAAAAGGCATTACTAAATACTCATAGTGTCCACTGTGAGTTCTAAAAGCTGTCTTATGTACATCACTTTCCTCCATACGCACCTGATGATAACCAGCTCTCAGATCAATCTTAGAATACACACAAGACCCTCCCAACTCGTCCATCAAATCCTCTATCAATGGAATAGGAAATCTGTCTTTCACTGTCATCTCGTTTAGCTTCCTGTAGTCTACACATAACCTCCATGTGTTGTCCTTTTTCTTGACCAAAACCACAGGTGAAGCATATGGACTTGAACTAGGTTGAACCGTTCCAGCTTTCAACAATTCCTGTATCATCTTATCAATCTCATTTTTCTGTTGAACCGCGTATCTATATGGCCTTTGATTCACCGGATTTGATCCTTCCTTAAGTACAATCTTATGATTATGATTGCTTCTGAAAGGAGGTAAGACCGTTGGTTCTTCAAATAAATCTTTATACTGCTCAGTCAACTTTGTTATCTCAACATCATATTCTTCTTTTATAGCTTCAGTTTTCATCAGCTTCAATGACATCGGTTCCTCCACACTCTCTTCATATGCATAGATCATATGAAGCTGCATCTCTTCCTCCTTATTTGTCTCCATTCTTCTAGCCTTTATTTCCCTCACAGAGTTTGGTGAAATACCATGAAGACAAACTTTTTTAGATTCCCACTTAAACTCCATTTCAAGCTTCTGAAAATCCCATGTTATAGGACCCAACCTTGCTAGCCACTGCACTCCCAAAACAACATCATGACCACCTAACGGAATCACCATAAAGTCAGCCATAAACTGATGTCCTCTAAAATTCCACTGAAACTTGTCAATACGGCCAGAGACACCAATTTTAGTTCCATCTGCAACTGCTACTCGAGCTCTACCAGCTTCCTTCACTCTACATCCCAGTATTTCAGCAACTTTGGTGTCCATGAAGTTATGCGTTGAGCCAGAATCAATCAACACATATATTGGCTTCTTCCCATGCATACCTTTAACTTTCATAGTCATGTAATCGGTGATGCCAGAAATGGCATTGATTGATATCTGAGCAACCTCTCTTTCATTCTGCTCCACAACTTCCATCGTTTCATAATCTTCCTCTGAACACCCCTCTCCCTCATCACAATCCATACAATACAATTGTGTTTTCTTATGTTTCTGAAAATGTTATGGAGTAAACTTTTCATCACAATAGTAACACAACCCTTTTGCACGTCTCTCACTCATCTCAGCTTGAGATAAAAATGGTTTCAACCGACCACTGGTCTCTCTCTGTTTTAAACCATCTTCTTTTGGAGCAGGAAGTAGTCCTTTCGGCTGAAAGGTACCAACTTGAGGTTTGTTACCTCCCCAACTACTCTTAATTTCTTTACGAGGGTGAGCCTTCTCATACAATCTCCCAAGTACCAAACACTGACGGATAGATTGAGGATTGAACATTCTCACATGCATCTGAGTATCCAGACGAAGTCCAGCTAAATAAGCACTCAACAAGTACTCTTCCTGCAACTTCAAACGACTTCTTATCAACTCAAACTTCTTATTATACTCAGTAATCCCATCCGTCTCTCTCAACTCCTTTAACTCTGCCATAGGATCATCTAAGATCTCCTCAAAACGTTCTTTGAGTCTTTCTTTATAAACTCTCCAACTACTCAACACTACTGCATCTTCATCTTCTTGCATTAAAGCTAAGTGCCAAGTAGATGCTTCTCCTTCAAAATGCATAGAAGCTATGCCTACTTTCTTTTCCTCAGGAGTATTATCAATCGCAAAGAATTGTTCAGCTTTACCAATCCATTCTTTGTATTTACCACCAGTAAACCGAGGAAAATCGATTTTGGTTAATCGAGTCATACCTCCATATTGTGGATTCTGAACAAATCGATTTGGATTGATGTGATTCTCCGCTTCTTGACCCGCCGTCCCACTCGTCGACGCGTTCACCGTCTGGTTACTCGCCATCTTCGTCAACGTTGCAAGAACTTGACGCATATCTTCATCTCTGCGTTCATCACGTTCTCTCTGCAACAACAACTCCTTTTCGATCGCATCGAATCGATTCGCAATGATTCCATCGATCTCCCGTCATACAGCTCCTTTCTGCTGCGCCTGTAACCGTGTTTCCGCCATAGATTCCGAGGATAGAATGGCTCTGATACCACTGATAGAGTTAAACCGGTGTTAACTCTATAATCAATCCGACGTTCAGATAAACGAGGAATTGAAATCTACCTTTTGAAGATCTTGAATTGAGAATAATCTTCAGAGAATAGATTGAGAAATCCAGAGAATTTTATTAAAGATGAGAAAGTTACAATTGATTTTCGATACTTGAGCTACAAGTTACAACTCTGTTTTTATACTCGAAATGTTTAACAAACTCTAACTTCCCTTCCACTCAATCGTTGCCACACGTCACTCTTCGTCCCTCTTGTAACGGCTCCAACTTCTAACTCTAACTTCCAGTCCACGTCATCTTTACTCACTCCATAATGCTGTAACAGATAATTTCTTGTTTTAGATTTGACAAGATCATAGCAAAAGAGATTCCATCAGACACTGTCTATGAAGATGATAACGTTTTAGCATTCAGAGACATAAACCCACAGGCTCCTGTCCATGTTTTGGTCATCCCCAAGTTTAGAGATGGCTTGACCTCGCTGGGGAAGGTAACATCTAATCTGGTTCTCGTAACAGTTTAATAGCGTTTCTCTAGTTGTCCTAAATAAAGATTCTGCACTCTACTATTAAGAGAGAAACTATGTGTTATTGTCAAAGGAACAATGGAAACACTAAGGAACACAAGCAACTTTCTTTTGAAGAACAGATACCTTAGTGTTTCTTTTGTTTTAGTCCGTTCTCTTAAATCAAATCTCGTGCCCAATATTATGGTGTTCTGTAACGAGTAATGGTAGAATTATGCCAGTGTTTCTGATCAATTCAATTTAACTGAATGCTGCCTTATGTTTTCCCGCGTGTGATCTTAAACTGATAATTAGAGTAAAGACTTATGTTTGTCTTCTGGTGGAGCAGATTATGTATCTTACACCTGAACATTGTCTTCTTGCAAAACTCTTTTGCAGGCTGAACCAAAACATGTAGAGATTCTTGGCCAACTTTTGTACGTATCAAAGATTGTTGCTGAGAAAGAAGGTATCCTCGATGGGTTCCGTGTGGTCATAAACAATGGCGCTGAAGGCTGTAAGTCTTTTCTTTACCGTCCAACGTAATATCATCATCATCATCATCATCAATTTAGCATACCTTTAACTGACTTAACTTCCTCCCATCAAGGTCAATCTGTTTACCATCTTCACCTACACGTCCTGGGCGGCCGACAGATGAAGTGGCCACCTGGTTAAAGAGAATGAGAATAATTCATGTTAAACATCATCAATGACTGTTCAACAGGTTTAAAATCTGTCCGCTGTAATCCTTTCTCTTATACATTTTCTATGATCTCACCATCCCATGGCTAGGATCTGACCCTGCAACTTATTTGTGGGTTCATTTGTTTCTCATATTCTAAAATACCCCGAATCTACCTTACCGCCATAAACCCATGTTCTCTATTAAACAATATTAGATTTTGATCCGCGCTTAGAAAACGCATGTATATTTTCAAAAATTTAATATAAATTTCTGTATAAAATAGCGTATAGATATAGATACAGATACATTTATCCGGGTATCAGAAAAAGAAAAAACAGAAATAATACCAACCGAAACCAAATGCTAAGAACTAATAATGCAACTATATTTAAATAGTGCGAAAAATTGTTATCTATATATATAAAGTAGGGTTATCCCTCTTTTAAATGTGCCACGTCAGAAAATAGAAGCTTGCAGTTGTGACACGTGGTATAAAAAACAAATGTTCGAAACTTATAAATTGGGCTTCCAAAATTGTCTATCATTTCATAAACCTAAGCCCACAATGAATGGTTATGTCCACTTACTCTCTCCCAAATGGTTTCTGTATAATAATGACGCCGTTATTGACGAACGATTTGCTTCCCAGCGGCTATGGAGACACCGTTACACAAAACGCTTGCATTCAATCAACGCCATTAATGCTCCATTAACCTCTCCATGAACGCCACCGACCCACTCCTACCACCATGTCTCAATCAAAACACCACCTCCTTATGAATCTACTACTATAGTCTATAAATATGGGAGTTCCTTTTGCTGATATTCATCACTTTCTCCGTCTCAATCATTATAATACACACACATTCAGACATTAGAATGGCACTGTCAAGACCAGGTTTGGGAAACCAAATGTTTGTCTTAAGAAAACACCTTCTAAAGTGCTTCTTTGAGACATGTAAGAAACTGATTTGCCCGAGATCAACCACAGCAACTGCGATATACTATAAATGGTAGCTGCAAAAAGAACTTTGCGAAATCAGAACATGATCGTAGTTTCAGCCGAGCAAGTGTAAACCAAAGGGGAAGGCATAAGTGTTATTTTACACCATGTTACATGTATAGCTTCGAGGAACAATTGCAGCCTGCAAAAGACCAATCCAGATGGCAACCTTTCATTTATAAATTATAATGGTTGATGTTGGATTTCTTCTAATCATCTGGTCGGATTTAGTAGACACGGTGGCTCTTACATAGAGTCCGCTCTTCATTGATTAGATTGTTCTCTGTTTTTCAGATTGGAGGCGTTAGTGATTCATGTTATATTTTTTGGCGAAAGAAATTACAAATTAGTGAGTCACAAATAAACTTACTGAGATGCTTAATGGGCTATGCTCTAATTATTTTGCGGCGGAGAGATTGTATTACCGAGAAAAAGGAGGTGATTGGGCAAACCTCGGCGATGGCTATGTTATCAAATTGATTGCTGGATACGGCTGAGCACGGTGCTCTCTGCATCAGTGGGAAATTCATTTAATCAAAGGTCACGTGTTTAGTTGCTGATGTCAGGATCTTCCACGTGTTCTATTAATGTTATCATGGTTAAGAGTTTGGATTGGGCTTTGGATTATGCATTTAGTTTCTTTAGTTTGTCACAACATGCTCGAGATCTTTTACTTAGATTAAAAAATGGTATGTAGAAGTGCTATGTATAAGATATGTGCTACATAAATATATGAACTAAATTAATGACAATTTTTAAATATCATTTCCAGACATAAACTCAAGTTCCAATTTCCCGAAGTGATCAAATCCTGTCAGAACATATTAAAGAAAAACTAACTTTTAACAGTTTCTTAGGATAAACAAACAAGAACCCAACTACGAAACTGAAGGGAAAACGTACACTCGCAGTTGATAGATTAGACCCTCCTCCCAACCCATACAAATCAGATTGAAGAAGTAAAATCTCCACCCGTGGAACATAATCGGCGAATCAAAGGTACAAGTCGTATGCTACACTTTTTTCCCAAATTAGCTTTACAAGTGGTTTCAGTTACACGTTAAATGTGTCAAAATCGAAACACTTTTTTGTAACTTATAAATCCAAACACTCGATGACTTGATTATTAGTTTTGGGTGAGACCAATACGTGTGAGATAATTTCTTCCCAAGAGTTTTACCATCTCAAATGAATAAAACCCTCAACTTATTTATTTTTGAAGAAAAAATCCTGAACTTTTTCAACTGTTAATAAAATAATTATTTTTACATTAATTTTTAAACTAAATAAGATCATATTTAAACAAATTGATTTCAAAGCTCATTAATTTTTGTGGGCAACAAGTAAGAACAAATTTAAATATTTATAAGATAGTCAAAATATAATTTTATATCTATATAAAGTATTGTTTCCTCAATAAGAATTGTTAAAGCCAACTATTTTCTTTCATGCTGCAAAGAGTTTGTAGAAATTACTATATATTTGAAAGGAAACATCAAAGAATTTATACTTCCAGGTTGGATACAGTAACATTTGCAAAACAAATATTAGGGATGTAATATTAATATAAAGAATAGCAAACAAATTATGTACTTGAAATAAGGTCGTAAAGCCAAGGGTTGTCTTTCATGTTGCAAAAAGTATAGAAATTACTATACATTTAAAAGGAAACATCAATTTTTGTTATACTTACATAGAGTAATATTGGCAAAACAAACATTATGGATGTACCATTAATATAAACAATACCAATAAGTTATGTACAGTAAAACATCTATAAATTAATAATATCTGGATTCTGAAATTTTATTAATTTATAAAGATATTAATTTACAAAAGTTTCCTTATTTAGAAAAATGTTTTTAATGAATAGACATTAATTATTATTATTTTGGAAATTGACATTTATATTAATAATATTATATTGTTTGGTGTATATAACATATATAACATAGAATTTAATGTGATTTTAGATATATATTACCAAATTTCATCAAAAATATATTAAGTGTTAAAATATAAAGATAATTCCATTGTGAATATAAAACAAACAGTATAATAAAAAGTTATTACTTATATAAAATATGTATACATAGAAATTATTAATTTATAATTTTAGTGGGACCATATCTTTTACATAGAATTTTCTAGAAAGTTATTATCTTATTATTTTATCGATTTGTGCCGCATTTTGAATTTGTGCAGGTTGGAACCGATAAAATTTATTAATTTTTAAATATTATTAACTTATTAGTATTAATATATATAGGTTCTACTGTTTTTTTAATTTTGATTTAACAGTACATAAAGTTTACAAAATCGTTAACTATTTCAAAAGATCTTCGTAGATCAAATTAGTAGTTTAAAATTTGAGCTCATAGGATGAGTACATGATTCTTTAAAGTTAATCCTAATTCGATAGTAAAAAAAATGTGTTTTCACGTCTACGATCTTACAAACTATGTCTATGAAAAGTTTCAAAAATTTGAGTAGCTATATATAATTATTTGCTAATATGAAGTTTGATATCTTAACTATCTTCAATAACATATTGACCATATGGTAAGATCGACAGATTATTAATGACGTACTAAAAGCCACAAGCGTGTTGTATCTTTTTTCATCTCATGTAATCCAAAACTGAAGAGAATTAAATCATTTTTCACTTTTTTTGTTGTTTTAAGAAATAGCATGTAGATGCAAAATAGGATATGTGAAATGCGTTCTTAAAACCCATAAACATTATTATAGATTTTTCTTACAAATGTTAATATAAACCACATATAGTATATACACTACACATAAAGTATATTCCGCGTGTAGCGCGGACCGATCCTAGTATTTTATAAACTATTTAATCCTTAGTGAGAGTACATATGTGCTTTATAGACGAATTAAGATATAAGCAGTATTTTCATACTCGATTTGCGGTCGAACCAATAAATCTGGTGACCATATATAATCCAGTTTTGCTTTCATACTCGATTTGCGCTTAGTTTTGCTTATGTTATTCAGCAATCTATTAAAGGTTCTAGCTATTAATATGTTTCCACAAATTTTGGATTTAACAAAAACTCATTAATTAAAAATTTGATAAAACCCAAAAATTTGATGTTAACCCGTGAATCAACATCCGTTAGTCTAGTGAAACCAGAAAAATCTGATAATTTTATTTTTAAAATGATTAAATCTCTCATATACTTTATAGTACTATTTGATTTGTCAATTAAATATATTGTATTTATGTTATGTATTTTTATTAATAGATTTTGTTAAAATAATGTACGTGATCAGGTGGTAAATGGGCTCGTCTAAGCCCAATACTTCTCATAAAACAGCAGGACCACATTTTTTTTTGTCCGTTTATTAAATGAATGGCATAAGTATAATTACATTATCATTTTCTTTGCAGTTTTTTTTTGAGGTTTTCTGCAAAAAAAAAAGAATTTTTGCTGTCAACCTTAAATTTTCTAAAATTCACTATTTTTATGAGAATTTTTGTTGTTTTTTTTCAGTAAAACCAATATGTGATTTATGACATTCAAAACTCTTAAAGAATGAGACATCCAAGGACCATGATCATTTTAATAGACAAAATTTTGATCATTGGAATGTTTGACAGGCAAGGTCAACATGAGAAGGTCACGTTTTAATCTTGAGATGTAAGGTAGAGAAGGTTACATTTTAATCGTGAGATTAATGAGATAAGTCATAAGTTTAGAAATCGTTGGTGGTTCGTAGGATCGATATAGTCTTGCTAATGTGTTAGTCAACCAAATATTGTGTCTAATCCCCTATATATTATTTGAGGATCATTTAAAAAGTTATAAGCATAAATTTGTATTAATTAAAAATAACATTAATCTTATGTAGCATATCTCTTTGCATACTAAATTCTATTTAACACAATTCTAGATCACTTTACATATATTATAGTTTAAACATATATTTACTAGAAAGATATTGGTCATATTAATACTTTTAAAA